TGCTCTCAGATGGAGAATGGAGAATGTGTTTGCTGAGGTCTTTAAAAGAGAAATTTTCTGCTGTGCTCCTTACAGCTGTAGTCACCTCTTTACCAGGATTGAGGTACAATGGATTTCTGTCTATCCTAAGCATTTGGAAACACAACACTTTCCTGACTTTCTTTCAAATGGCAACTTCACCGACTTTCTTTTAATTTTTTAATCTCTCATTAGAGTACTAGTCAAAAATGTGTGACAAAAGTGTTAAGACAAATCTGTTTAAACCACTTGAGGCTATGTCTTCCATTCTCATCCATGGCTATGGGGGTACCTGAGAAGGAAGAGAGTAAACACAGCTGTTCACCACTTAGAACCTTTTAGTGTATCCCACGTATAGGTGGGAGATATGTATGGAGGTCTTCTACTCATAAAAACCAGTGATTTTTTCTCACTTATTTCTCTTCTAAGAAGAGAGCGAAAACAATTTCAAAGTACAGACAAGACAAACAGTTTGAAATAAGAGTAAAATAAAGCAGATTAAACAAATTCACATATAAATTGTCCATGTAAACTTTGGTGTAATAATATATTTTCATAAATAATGGAGAAAATGGTACATCTAAACAGATTTCCAGAAGCACAGATGTCCCAGCATAGTCTATCATATCATTTAAATTTAGTTTTTATTTAAATTTGAGTATGAAGCTCCACAATTGAATTAAATTGTAGATTATGTAGTTTGTTTGTTTTCCCAGAATAAAATATGGTTTTACTAGTAGTTATGTTGTAAAATCATCTTGAATCTAAAATTTTAATTAAAATTTTAATTACAGATGGATTTTCAGAACTGCAAATAATTCTAGACGATACAAAGATTTTGGTTTTAGTAATACCTGTTGCACTTCACTGATCTCAGTCTGGAACAGGACTGAATATATGAGCATCAGAATTGTTTCTGTGGACATAGTAGTGAAGGAGCAAGATATTGCAGTTGGCCTCCTGCTGCACTATGTGTAATTTCTCTGCAAGGAAATTCTGGTAAAACTGTGCTGGGGATTAAGATTATTCCTTTTGTTTCTTTCTCTCATGGAATTTTGTCCCATCTGTTGCTAAGAAACAATAACTACCGATACTTACGAGAAAAAAAGATGCGGTTGGGAGGAGGAGGAGGGCGAAGGGTGCAGTTGGCTACTGTCTGTACCTGGGTCGGGATCCCTGAGCCTCTCCCCCCTCAGAGGGATGCTTCCTGTAGCACTGGCAGGTGAGAATCACTTCCCAAGTGCCGCTTCACAGGACATAGGAAAAGGGTGTGCATGAGATATTTAGCCTTAACTGCATCCTACCAATTTCAGTTTGAAAACCCAAAGTCTGATATTCCTTAAATAAACTGCGCTGCCTTGTATAAACAGAGATAGTGAGCTATGCTGATCAAGGGTTTCCACAGGTACAGGGAGTGCACTATCAACGGGGATGTCACTTTCCCTGGTCCCACCAAAACTCACCTCCTTACAGGTAGATGGGCAAGAAGGGGGAAAAAGTCAACCAATTTCCTCAGAGGTGCTCTGTTTTTCTGGTTCTTTTTGTTGTCTCTGCTGTTGTTTTTGTTTTTTTGCCTTGTTACACATACATGTACTAGAAAAGAACTGTTGTTTCTTTTCCCATATCTGCCTGAAGGCCCCTTAATTTCAAAGTTATAGTAATTCAGATGAAGAGGGTAATTTTTTTTTTCATTCCAAGGGAGGTTCCTGCCTTCCATGGCAGACACCAGTTTTTCAAACCAAGACAGACCATAAGGACATAAACAGCTGATTTCTCTTGAAAGAAAGTGGTATATTCATCTAAGATCTGGCTGCGTCCAGTGCCCAGTAAAATCAGTTGAAAAGACTTTAACCACATTCAGTCAGATGTCTGTGAGGGTTAATAGATTTGACATAAAATTACCTTCCAAAATAAAATGGTGCATAGAAATGCAAATGGTTATAGAGCCAGATGTTGCAATAATGCAAACACAATGTAAAAATACCAAACTCAGCCATAAACGCAGAGGAGTTTAAGAACATTATAATAAAGACTAAAGACTATATATTTGTTAAGATATGATTAATGCATATGATTACCCAGGTGTATCAAGGAATAAATATATGACTACAAAAATATTACAGGATGTTTGGCAATCACAACTACTTCTCTGTAAATGATGTCTGTATGCCTCCCTAATGAAACCAAATGCCCAAGGAGAATTTCAAGATTACATTCCTGTAAATTTGCTCTACAAAGACAATTGATATTTCTTTATCTTTTGCAGGTGGCTGTGCTAGCTCTCATACGAGCTATTTTTGTGAGCTTGGCACATTATTTTCCATCACTTAGAGCCAAATGCTCTAATTTGTTTTTAATCTCACACACCTAAAAGGGAGTTATTTGCTGATTTGTGGTGATACTTTAAAGAATGAAAATGAAAAAGTAGTGAAAAAGGTTTTGTTTTGGATTTGAATACTGCCACCCTATCGCAAATTTTTCAGATTTGTCTGACTAATGATAGAAATAGCTCCAGTCCTTTCAATAATAAATTTATAACACATAAATTTTCCCTTTCTTCCATCAAGCATATCCACTTCTTGCCATTTTTGGAGGCTTTTTTTTGTTGTTTTGAAAATGGCATTCAGCCATTATTCTTAACTTTCTAACGGGACACCTAAAGTGTGTCCAGATTTAGTCAGTGCTTTCCACCTATGGCTGTTATGAATGTATATGGTGTTTCAGATGCCCTTTACACGATTTTTAAAGGCATTCTGAAAAAAGGTACAGGACTGTTCTTGTTAACCACTAGATGCCACCATTGTTGCTATAAAAGTGGTCCAGTCTATGTCCGTGTCCATTAAATCCCACAAGCCTTCAATAGATTTCTCTACAGTGTATCAAAACAGCGGAATAGTATTGAACTAAAAATACAAATGCAGGTAGATACACACCTTATATTCAATTTATTTATAAATTATTTTGATAATACACAACACCTTGGGGTCCATTTTCAACTCAGAAGTGTGTAAAGGGCTTTATAAATCACCTCTCATGGGTTTACCTGCTCTTTTTGTGACAAAAATAAGAGCTGCCAGATCTGAGGAGCTGGTGCAGCTGAGACTGACTGGAGTGATTTCAGTATACGCATAAGCAAGGGAGTGTCATACATTGCACCTCTGCAACCCCAGAGCAGTAAGTTGTCTGAAAATTTAGGACATCATTATGATGGGGCTGTGAAGGTCTCAAGGAGGTTGTACTGCACATGACTCACTATGGCCCAGTAACTCCTAACTCCTGTTTGCAAGGAGCCGGGGGGAAGGGATGGGAGAGAGTATTTTAAAATGCAAGGCTCATACAGAAAACTGAGACTCTCATAACTCTGGTAATTACCAATGCCTTTGTAAAGCCTTTCTGGAGGACATCCTTTCCACTTAGCTTGTCTGCTAGTAGCTCGAGGAAGACAGACTCAGGATCTGCTACCTTGTTGCTCACACAACATCTCCGGTAGTGATCCTAAGTTCAGACACAACACTTGGGCTGTTGTTTTTAGTGATGACAGCTGGAGTGAATGCCTAGTGCCTTACTGATTGGTGTTACAAACATATCAGCCTGTGTGCACATGGGGAGGAAATTAACCATGATCTATTTGGAAAGGACATTCAGTCCTGAGGAAGCCATAGGGTATGCTTCCTGAGCTTGATGCTTCCATATCTCAAAAACACAAAGAGCACGCAGCCTGCTTACTGGCACAGTCACATGGATAAACTGCAATTACTTCAGTAAGTGACCTCTTCACACCTAAAGACTATGCAGAGTGGACTTGGTTTGTTAGGTGGGTAAAGTGGTATCATTTTCAATAAAGGCTTGAAATTCTTCTCTCACTATTTGCATACTTTTGCTAACATCGCAGACCACCAGCCTCCATACTCCTTCTCCCACCTTGACATGTGTCTAACAATCGCTAAAGTCACAAGAAGTGACAACACCATAGATTAGCCAAATGTGTGGTTTTGCTGAAAACTATTAAATATATGCTACTGGATCTGTTAAATTGATGTATTTCAGTGAATAGACGAGTGGATGTGAGGAGCAATTTACGGCTTTTGTTGGAGACAGACATCTTGCACAATTAAATTAGGGATGCATATAAATATGAAGGATATACAGGCAACCTTAAACTTCTGAATTAAAACTGTCCCTGCAGCTACAGTGTCCTTAACGTTTTATTGCTGTTGTCAGTCATCCTCGACTGTGGACAGTGCAGTTACCCAGAGGTTACCCAGAGGTCAGGAGGATGAGGAAGCAATGCTCCAGGATCTTGGAGCTAATGAGAACCAAAGCAAAATTAACAATACCAATAATACCTTACACTAATGATATACCCAGGCAGTGGAAATCCACGCCACAGGGAAAAGGCACTTTTAGATGGGGAGTTCTTAACTGTCGAGGGCAGAAGGCAGAGGCCAGAGCGGAGGCAGCGGGGAGGGCATCTCTCCTCCCGACACGACACCCCGGACCTGCCTTCCAGGACCACCCCTCTGGAGGAAACGACCGGGCGGAACGGTCCCGTCCGGCGCCCCGTGGCCGCTCTCGGATAGTGCCCGCTGCTACGGCGGGTTCGGGACGCACCGGGGGATCCAGGGCGAAGCGAGGCTGCCGAGGGCAGCCCCGCCGGCCCCCGCCCTTCCGCACCGCCCGGCAGGCTGCCCCGGCCCTGCCCCCGCCCCAGCGGGCAGGAGGGTCGCCAGCGGACGGCGGGGCCGGTTCGGGTGTCGGGGCGGCGGCGGGGATGATCCGCGAGAGGGATCTAAAAAAATCGTTTCCTTCCGGAGCGGCGGCGGCGGCCGCCAATTCTCCGGCGCAGCTTGGGCGCCGACGGCGCCCTCCGGGGTGAGGCGCTCGGCAGCCACGGAGGAAGGCGGCGGGCGCTGCGCGGGGGCCGGGGCGGAGGAGGCTGAGCGGTGGGAGGGGCAGGGAGGGACCAGCCGCGGCGGGGACAAGGTGCCAGCGGAGCGGAGGCGCCGCCGCTCGCGCTCCGCCGCCCTTCCACCCGCAGAAGTTTGACTCGGGAGCAGCGCAGCCGCCCGGGCCGCCGCGGCGGGAGACGCCGCGCTTGAGGCCGCCGCGGGACGGGGGTCGCCTCCAGCGGGACGCCGGTGGCGGTAGTGCTGCTCCGGGAGCCGCCCCGCCGGCGACATGGCAGCGCGATCCCGGAGACCCTGGCTGAGCGTGGTGCTGGGGCTGGTGCTGGGTTTCACCGCCGCCTCCTGGCTCATCGCCCCTAGAGTGGCCGAGCTCAGCGAGAAGAAGCGGCGCGGCGCCAGCCTCTGCTCCTACTACGGCCGCGCGGCGGGGCCGGGGGCGGCCCGGGGCGCGGCGGCGGCGGGCGGGCAGCAGGCGCCGCCGGGGGCAGCGGCGGTGCTGGGCGGCACGAGTTTCAGGAGCAGCCCCTGGGAGCTGCCGCCGGCGGCGGCGGAGGGCACGGTCTCCAGCCCCGCTGCCGGCGGGGAAGGGGAGCCGGAGGAGGAGGACGAAGGCGGCGAGAAGAGGAGCGGCCGGCCTGGCGGCAGCCACAACGGGAGCGGGGACTGGGGGGGCGCCCAGGGCTGTACCAAGCCCCGCAACTTTCTCTACGTGGGGGTGATGACGGCCCAGAAGTACCTGGGCAGTCGGGCGGTGGCGGCGCAACGGACGTGGGCACCCTCGGTGCCGGGCCGCGTGGAGTTCTTCTCCAGCCAGGGCTCCGCCGCGCCCCCCGGGATGCCCCCGCTGCCCGTCGTTGCCCTGCCAGGAGTGGACGACTCTTACCCGCCGCAAAAGAAGTCCTTCATGATGATAAAGTACATGCACGACCACTACCTGGACAAGTACGAGTGGTTCATGCGGGCGGACGACGACGTCTACATAAAAGGTGACCGGGGCGCATCCCGCCGGCGGGAAGCAGGGAGGAAGGGGAGCGGTGTCTGGGAGTCCGTCGGAGTCCCCCTGTGGGTCGGGGAGAGATTCTGTTCCCTCCTGGGGCGGGTAGAGCGAGGGGCGCCTCGACCTGCCACTGCCCCGCCGTTTGCTTCCAGCCCCGGTGTGCGGGGTATGGGGGGCCGCCCCATCCCTGAGGGAACCTCGGCGTGCCCGGGCCGGGCCGTCTCTGCGGAGGCCGCGACTCATTGGAGAGCCAAAACTGCGGGTTGGACCTCGCCGGGCTCGGTGAGCGGTCCTGTGGATGGGCGTGTGGTCCCGGTTCTGTCGTCCCCGCCCTCGCTTCCACGGCGATCCTGCGGACGAGCCGCCGCCGTGGTCCGGCGGAGAGGGTCTGGTCCGACCGGGCGCGGAGGGCACTGCAGGACTCACGACCCGACCTCAGGGTGTCTGGCGGTCGTGCCGCGCCCCGGCCCCTCAAAGGAGCCCGTGCGGGACTCCTAGGAGCGGTGCTGCTGTCGCCGGTACCAGGCTCCTCGCTTGCCTCGACCCTGGGCTGGGCGAGCGCAGCCGCCGGGGCTCCAAGTGAAGCTGCTGTTCCGTGCAGCGGGCGCCTCCGGGAAGCACCAGCCTTGCTCCCGTGCGAGTTTCACAGCACCGTTAGGACGTGATGTTCTGCAGCCTTCTTCCTTTTGGTCTGCGCTGGAGGCTGGCATTGTTTGTGCCGTGTCCCGCGCTGAGGAAAGGAAAGCTGAAGTTGAAAGCATAAGCCCAGGTTGTGAGCTTGGTTGCTTACACTGTTGTAAGTTCATTGGTGGTGACTGTACCCTTCTCTGTTTGTCACTTAATTTTGAATCGTGTAATAGGCTGCCTGCTCATCAGTTGTCATTCACCTGTCAAATACTTGCAGGTGAATGACAAGTGTATACATGTATATACATATATACATGTATATATGTATATACATTCAGTTGCAGGCATAAAGTTGTGTTTTCTTTGAGCTCATTTCAAAGGTGTACTGAACCTGTCTTTAATTGATTACATGGTATGAAATTAAACCTATCCAGAAACTTTTAATTTCAATTAAATATTAATGTTTCCTAAAATAACTAGCTAAGTGCTGATAAACATTGTAGCACTGGAGCTATTTGAAATGAACAAAAGTTTAACTTTCTTTCCAAGAATTAGTCTGTAATCAAACCTGTTTTTCTTAGTTAATTTAGATTTGCTCTGGTATTTTCAAAAATTAATCCTATTAAATCTTACCTGGTATTTCCCATACACTCCCTTTCCTCCCCAGCCTGGAACTATATTGTCCAAACTGTTCAACTTTAGGGACTTTTATACTAGGAAGTGCTTTCCATTCGTATTGTTTGAACAGAAGTTCACTGTCAAAAATTAAGTTCTGATCTTATTCCAGCTTGTGGCTGGAAGGAAAATGCCATTGTAATGTTAATTTAAAAAAACCTGTTAACTTGTCTAAGGATGTTTTCTGCGAGGTCTAGGATATTGCTTTGGAAGTAATTTCCTCTGACAGTCTCAGGTACCTGTTACATTTTTATAAAAGCTTGGAGTGCAGGAAAAGAGATGGCTGGCAGAGTGGTCAGGGAAATAACATTAATCTTATCTTTTTGTCAGGTGAAAAATTGGAGGAGTTTCTTCGCTCACTGAACAGCAGTAAACCTCTGTATTTGGGGCAGACTGGTCTGGGTAATATTGAAGAACTTGGAAAACTCGGGCTGGAGCCTGGAGAAAATTTCTGCATGGGAGGGCCAGGAATGATCTTCAGCCGGGAAGTTCTCCGTAGGATGGTGCCACATATAGGTGAATGTCTTCGAGAAATGTACACCACTCATGAGGATGTGGAAGTGGGCAGGTGTGTCCGGAGGTTTGGAGGAACTCAGTGCGTTTGGTCCTATGAGGTAAGTGACAATGTAAATTGCAGTGTGCTGTTTGTTTACAGAGTTTTTCATCTTGCAAGGTAAGTAGCTGTATCTGCAATCTCTTTCCACCTTAATTATTTTCCAGTGCTTGCATCAGGATGTGAACTGCAGACTATAAAGAAAAAAGAGAGGAAAACATTAACAGCATATTGCTGTAATAATATTTATTTCTACTTGTGTCTTACAGTTTTCATTGGTGACAATTTACTACAGCCATGTTGTAAGTGTTGCTATGCTGTAAGTTGCTAGAGCATTACCTAGAGGGTTTCAAAACAATCCTTGACAGGAAGCTGTTACATTTGATATATACTGTTCAGGACAGATTGTTTTAAGCAGATATTTTCAGGTTTTTAGATAAGTACGAAGCATATCTGCTCTGCATCACAGTCTCTTAAAATACATTGTAGCATTTGAAGAATGGTCTGTATTTTCTTAATTACCCAGATGTATCTTATTCAAGTTTGTTATTGACAAAAGCAGAAATAGGTGTTGTTTGGCTGGGTTTGTCTTTATTTTGTACAGAAATGAAATTTGTTATACTGCCTTTCTATGATACAATTTTAATAGTGTTTTTCTTAGCATAGAACACCATTAAAAAGGATTAGGAATACATGCAGTGTAAAAAATTTTCCTATGCCGAAGTAATTTTAGGAACAAATTACTTCATTCCGTGGTAGCATTTTCTAAAGTAATGAGGGTCTTTTGCAGTACCCAAAAAGTTTATCTGCAATGCCATAATTAAAATTCATGCTGGTTTCTCTAGAATTATTGTGCTTATTTGCAAGACTGTCTTCATAGATAAAAATAGGCTGAGCATGCAACTACAAGAAAGGGTAAAAGGTGAAACCTAATATGATTAATATTATTTCACTTATTTTGACCAGTTCTTTAATATTAATATGTGCTTGCTCTTGTGGCACTCCCTCATTAATCAGGAAAAATCCATTTAAATGGGCCACAGAAAGAGGCTATGTGGTATTTAGTGTCAAAAAGTCAGAAAAAAAAATTAATCTTGTGTAATAGCATTTTTCTGAATGGTCCAGGGAAAGGTGACCATTTATAAATGTGTTTGGTAGACTACAGTGTATGTAAGCAGGTGAACAAAAGAAAATGCTAATTAGGTAGAAATCTTAGAGGGCCAAATTTACTTTACTCAAATATGCTTTTTGAGCCTATTTCCTTATGTGTTGTAAATGCTACTGTAAAATGTACCTGTTACTCTGGCAGAGAAGGGAAGGCATTTATGGTGTTGATGGAAATCCACGTAGAACTATATAGTACTAGTGGTTCCTAATCAGACATCTGCAGCCTAATTGTATGCTCTGATGTGTTTGGGCTATGTCTGTACAAAGCTATTTTCCAGTCCTTATGGGTATGTGATGCTTGCTGATCTGTATCAGGTGGCAGCATTAAGATTCTGCCTTGACAGTTGTGTCAGAGAAGGGGTTTTGTTTTTGTTTTTGTGGCTTGACTTGGGGAGAAATCTGTGGATGAAAACCAATAGTATTGTCACCATGGTTATGATTTATTTTGATGCTGAATATCAGGAAATGTTGGCTCCAGGCACTGATCTTAAGGGGGATGGAACAAAAAAATACAGTTTTGGAGACTGGTTTATATGACTGCCCAGAAGCTCAGCTTTTCATGGTAGAATTGAGGCCTGAAAACAAACATTTTGAAAAAAAACTCATGCTTGTATGGGATCTGGAATAGAGCGACACCAGTTGGTGTCAGTTGCTCTTGAAGGACCTAGATCTGTGTAATAAAGAATAGAAGAAGAAAAAATATGTTGGGCATTGCAATAGTCCCTACTAATTTCTGACCAGTATTTCTGTCTGATTCTGAAGAATCTTTGACTCTGTTGCCAGTGCAGAAGCTGCTTGGGAAAATGCAGATGATTAAGACAAAGCTGCTTAGGATGTTATCCCAGCATTAAACCTATTTAGATGGGAAGGAGCGAAATGGGGTGTCAGGAAAGAGAAGCTGCATTTGTGCTTTGGCATAGTTTGTGCTGTGCAACAGTATGGTACTCCACCTGAGCAGATCTGTGTGTTGCAGATTGCTAGATTATTTGGTGAAAAGAGTGATATTTTTTCCCTGGGGCACTGAAACTGTTTCTGTGTGCTTTGTCATTCCCATGTTAGATCAGAAATGCTCTCTATGTGCTAGAAGGGGAATGTTCCTTCAGATACCTGTGCACAAAATCTAAGATTGGGGCCAGGACTTCCTGTATAGCCAATTGCACTTTTGTCCTCTTGTTCTGTGTAAGTAATAAACCGAGTCCTGTTGAGCTGCAAGATTAGGATGAACTTAATTGATTTTAGTAAGATAAATAATTTGTATTCTGTATGTATTTGTGAAGACCAATGTCAGCTGGAAACAATTACATTAAAATTCATAGAAGCTTTTTAGCTCCAGAAGAGTTGAATCACTGTTGCCTCATTTTTTACTATATTTCTTTTCTAAGAACTGGATCGGAAAGTCAAAGAGTTGCTGAGAAAACCTGAAATGCTTGATCTTTGCTGGATGGCTTAGCTGGTGTAGTTGACTGGCTGCCTGTCAGAGTTTGTTCTGTGGCTACTTAGGGCTACCCAGAAGCATATGGTAGCTTATATGCATAGTATGCTTGCTGACAAGAAGAGGGTAACAACTTTGGTGTTTTTAAAAAAAAAAAAATAATTTTTTGTTGTTGTTGTTGTAAGAATGAATAAGAAAATAAGATATTTATGGGCCTGCAGTGAGCCACTCTTATGTTTTGAGCTTTCTACAGTTAAATTCTAGTTCTGCCAGATTTGAAGCCAGGTGTAAATTGGGACTCCCACGTACCAAGTGACTCATGGCTGGGGTGATGAGCCTCTCTGTATGTCTGCTGATGGAGCTCCTCCACTCTAAATAAAGAATTAGTCATTAGATTGCTGAGAGAGGGAATCTAATGGCAGTGTTTTTAGGGTCCTTGTGAAAAATGGAGGACAGAAAGAGGAGGACACTCAGGTTAGTGTCTCTTTTTGGTTGCTGTCCTGTTCTGCTGGCCTTGGGCAGCCCTGTGGTGAGCTGGAACAGGGGAGAATCCACTTTGCTGAGCACGAGCATCAGGAGAAAAGGAGGTGGTCATAGCCAGGAATAAAGGACTAGCAAAGTGTCAAACTGCTGTCTTGACAGCTGCTTAGATTCAAAGTGTCTGGAAGCAACAGATAAACTGTAGCCTTAATCTAGTTCATTTCCTTGCTTCATGAGAAGGTATCACTTCAGCCAGAAGTGTATTTTGGATGGAACGTTTTCTTTCTACAGAAGATCCATCCTTATTCTGGTATATTTTTTCAATTATGTTTTAATTTACCCTTATTTTTGATGGTGCTGTAATGACTGAGGTGTAATAAACCTGACAAATTTGTCTGAAGTATTTCTGTAAAAAGTCTGTTCATTTTTGTAAGGTGCTTTTGGGTAAGCATCTTCTGCTTCCTCAAATCAGAAACTAAATATTGAAAAGGCCTTTTGATTTGTTTTCAGAATCTGTATTTCAAGCTCTCACTCTCTTCCACTAATTTTGAAGCTTTTGAATGTTTTTATTTTAAAGGAATGAAGAAATTTTCTTGATTTTAGTGAGTCATATGTTTTCTATTCTTTTGAAAACATAGTTAAAAAGCTGAGATGCTGTGTACTTCCTTGTTTTGCTGTTTAAGAGGGATTTGAGTATAGAGGACGATTTGAAATAAAGGTCTGATTGCTTTATCTCTCTTCCCTCTTTCTTCCCCCCCTCCCCTTTTAAAAATATGTTTTGGGTTTCAGAAGACCATTTTGTAATTTATAACCTGAAATTTGAACAAATCAAATAGTGTAGTTCCATAAGATGACTAAAAGAAATGCTGTGTATGAAATAAATGGCTATAACAATTGAAGAAGACTTTGTCAGGGTGTAAATACTATCAGAGAATGTGTTTTTTTTAGAAAATAAAAAATGTCAAATGCAACAAAAAACATCTAAAGACTGATTTATTTGTAACATGCAAATGCTTGCAAAGCTTTTCTTTTTGTAGCCTTTTTTCCCTTTTTATGGATTAAAATAGTATAGAGTGTCTTAAGGTAGAAGAGACTCATAAGGATTATCAAATCCAGTGCTTGCAATGTTCACTTTAGAGTTAAAAACTACATTCCTCCAAAGCATCATATACAGTATTGTTCCTATGGTATTGTGTAGGTTGATGTTGAAAGAAAATATGATACTTTGTACATACAAGTAGTCCACATAAATTATATATCTATTTTTCCCACTGTTTTTTCCCCCCTTTGTTTCCAAAGTTCAAGGACAGCCATAGAATACAGTCTCATTACTGCAACATTCTTTTAGTAAAAAAGCTCTCTATTATCCTGCTTGTTGTTGATTCCCAGTAGTTACAGTAAATATTGCAGTAAATGTCATGGGAAAATGCCTCTTTGGATCAAGCTATGTACTCAGAAACTTTTCCTTTACAGTGCATTGGTATTTTGACTGTCTCTGGTGGTACTAGAACTTTGTAAACCATTTTACGTCTCTTCTTCTAAAAATACTTTATATTTTCTGTTTTAACTTGATACTTCCTTCCTGTTGTATTTTAATCTGTCATTTAAGGCTTTATCTCTCTCTTTGGTGAAGATCGGTACTAAGCTTTGAGTTCAACCCTGCACGAAATAGAAGCATTAGAGGTGTGGCTGTCTTTGATGATAGGATGGTATTTTGCTCATTTTGGGTACTGGAATGATCAATCTTGAAGCAGCAGTGCCCCACCCCCACTTAAGTTGCTGAATTCAGACAGCGTAATTAGGTAGTTACATAAATGCAGCCAATACTTTAAAAAAACATCAGTGATCCTAGAATAAAAAATGCATAGAAGAGTGGACCCTTGCAGTAGGGGTCTCTGAGTGTATATGAAGAGAAATCAGATGATCTCAGAGGCCTTATAACTTTTTGCATAAATGGACATTTTCTGGTACAGGATTACTTG